TCAGCAGATTTCATTGATATCTAAGAGTCACCTATAATCCCTGTTTTCTCTTTTTCAGTCGGGTTAGTATGAAATCATTTCACAGAGCAACAGTAATTTTTTCTTTTTAATCAGAACTTTGATTAATTGGTTAGGCATATGCCATGGTTTAAAAGTGATTTCTGAATTAATCTGAGTGTGTTTTCTATCATAGCCGTTTGTTTTTCCTATCCTAGTTATTGATATCTTTTTGGTGTTTGATTAGTAATTACATAACTAATTTATTTTGAGAGTTTCTTCTTTAAAACATAACAGATGACATAGCAGTCTAGGCCATCAATGGGGCAACAAAAATAGGTGATAAAAGCTTTTCGTAGGGGATTGAAAATGATTTTGTGGGGTTATTTAGGAGGTAGCTAGGATGAGTCTCTATTGCTAGATTGCTGTACACCTTAGGTAATGAAGCAGTCTGACTGAACAGAATTCAGGTAATCCGTAATGTTTTCTCAGATCTTTACTATGATATCATAATACCATAAGTAAAACTCCTTTACTCTTTAACTGTTTTCCCTAAGAAATCATCTGAAGTTGATTTAACACAGTCTGGATGTTTAGTTGAAGCATCTGTTCCCATTTCAGCACTCACAGAGGCTTCACATGGTAAGTACTTAATTTTTCCTTAGTGTGTTTACCAGTTGCTCCAATCCATAGCATGTATGGTATGTGTACCTGCATGCTAAAATCTGGGGAGACTAAAATGAGATTTTTAAAAGATCATGGCCTAGAATAAATATTTGAGAATTCTTGTTATGTGAGGGCTATTTCTTTGTTTGAGCTACTATCTATAAGAATTAGGTTTTATTCTATTTCCTGGTAGGGTGTAGTTTGAGAAGTAGGGCCAGTGACTATATTAATCAATATATTTTGTTGGAAAAACACTACACATAATTTTTTTGTTTATTTCTATTTTAAGTGTGTGGAAAGGGTTTTACCAGACTGTTCACCCCTTTATCAAAATTAGAATGGTTATATTGAGTAAACCTTATTAGCATGGATTCAGGCTTATCTTTATTCTACATGTGTTTTTATCTTTAAAGTGGAATTCTTATAGACACATAGCTAGATTTTTTTATCTAGTATACTAATTCCCACCTCATAGCTAGATTTTTTTATCTAGTATACTAATACCCATCTTCTGCTTTTAAGTCTTTTTCCTGTTTTTTTTCCTTCTTTTTTTTTTTTTAATCTAGAGAGCACTTGAACCCACCAAAGAGAGAGAGGGAAAGTGAGAAGTCACCCTCCAGGGGGGATCACCCATGCCACAGTCCGGTCTCGGGACTTGGGACTCATATGGGTGTGATTTTTTAAGCTGCAGTGTTGCAGACTCTAATTGTAGGGTCGAGTATGTGGAATCCAGCTGCCTTAACATTCCATGCCATCTGCTGGCCCAATTTCTGGTTTTTAATTGGAGTACTTAGGCCTTTAATATTTTAATTATTAAGATAGTTTAACTGATATCTACCATTTTTTCATGTTTTCTATTCTTCCTGTTTCGTTTTTTTTTTTGTCCCTCTGCTTCTATATTCTGGCCTTCTTTGGGCTTGTTTTAATATATTAGGCTGTCTGGAAAGTCATGACATATTTTTCTGTGCAAAAAGGCATCATGACTTTCCTAACAACCCAGTACTTTTAGGAATCCATTTCAGTTTGTCTGTTACTCTTTTATACCAATGAATTCTTTTTTCCTTGTTCCTAAAGATTAAAAAACACTTTTTTTTCTTCTTAAGGTTTTTACCATAGGGCATGTGTGCTCACCAGAGAGGGAAAGCAAGAAATCACACCCTAAGGGGAATGGCCATGCCATAATCCTTTCTCCTACATTCTCTCAAGATTTTGGGCATGCATGTACATGCCCCTGGTGTGATTTTTCAAGCTGCTGGGTCTAGGAATGAGGCCAGGGTTGGCCGTGTGGGATCTAGCGCCTTAACCACCATGCCACCTGCTGGCCCCTAAATAGACATCCTTAACTTTTTATAAACCTTATAGATTAATTTCCTCTTTCCCAACCATCGCATTTATAGACCTGCACAGTGTTGATACATAGACGTTACATTTACTGTTGTAAACCTCATAAGATGTTACCATTTGTGCTTTAAAATGTCACCAGCAATTTAAATAATTTAAGAGAAGGAAATAGTCTTTTATGTTTACTCAGATATATACTGTTTCTGATATTATTTTTTCCTTTCCAAGACCTGATTTTGCATCTGCTATTTTTCTTTAGTCTGAAAAAGAATTTTTTTTTTTTTGAGAGGTTTTTGCTATAAGGCGCGTGCACTCACCAGACAGACAGAGACAGTGAGACAGAAAGCGAGAAATCAACCCCCAGGGGGGATGGCCACACCGCAGTCCCTTCCCCTCCATTCTCCTCTTGGGAGCTTGAGCACACACATGCCTGGCGTGAGTTTAAGCCACCAGGTCCTCGAACCATGGTCGACTACATGGGAGTCCAGCGACATAGCCATTATGCCAACTGCTGGTCCCTGTTTTTGTTACTTTTGTAGTTAGTGTCTGCTTTTCAGTTTAATCTCAGGCTGGTTAGGTGGGTGTCTGAGACTCAACTCATGTGTTTAGTTACATCATAGCTCACCTTCTCTATTCACCCCGCTACTAGGCCCATATGGTTAAGGCACAAAGCCAGGTTGTAAATCTGTCACCAGGATGAAATAAGGTAACATTTCTTACTAGTTCTTCAACATTTCTTACCAATTGGTTTTGCTTTGCTCTTGGGATTCTGCTTAGGAATGATGTATTCTTTTTTTTGGGCCAGATTTTCGCTATAGGGCGCGTGCACTCACCAGACAGACAGAGAGAGACATAGAGACAGAAAGCGAGAAATCACCCCCCAGGGGCGATGGTCACGCCGCAATCCCTTCTCCTCCATTCTCCTCTCGGGATCTTGGGCACGCACGTACATGCGTCCGGCGTGAGTTTTAAGCCACCAAGTCCAGGACGCGAACCGCGGTCAACTACGTGGGAGTCCAGTAACATAGCCATTACACTAACTGCTGGTTCCTGGAATGATGTATTCTTTAACAATAACTATAGATTGTATGGAGTGTTATCATTAAAAATTGTCATCTTTCCAAACACTTCATACTATGATATGATCTGAATTGGTAGCAGCACCATAACAAAAGCTAAAATATCATTTGTGTGCCCCACAAAATTCTACCCAGAAATACAGTGCGAAGACAGGGAGAGATCTACCATACATGATAGGGTCTTGATTAAAGGAATCTAATGTTGATTTCTGTATTTTAAACTGTCCGGTTACTTGGTGGCACCCCAGAGGTGCAACTCTGAAAATTCACCTTCCGAAAGAGAAAAATGATCTTGTAAAATAGGGTAATACTTGCATAAGTAATTGATATAATGCAGATTTAACTGTGCCTCCTGCATCTTTTATGTGCTAAAACCAGCAACCCTATTGATGGATGATCTGAAGTCAAGTTCGTTGGAGCTCTTTCGCAGTCCCTTGCTGCTCCTATCACAGAGAACATGAACAGTATTAGAAGCAAATGTCTTGGTCCTCTTGCCACAAAACCTGCGTCTCAGTTCCAGTGTCTGCCTTTCTTGCTATGACAGCAGAATCTCAATATTTTTATCTATCAGTAAGGCCATCCTCTTCATTGGGGGCTGATTTCTTTCACTCATTCCCTTTCCAAGGACCTTCTATCTGGGTTGTGCCTTCTTTGCTGAATTTACTTTTTCTATGATACAATATGCTGTAATATCTCTCATTTTAAACCTGCCCTTCACAAAGAATTTCCTTCCAACTAGAATCCCATTTATTTGCTTTCCTTTAGGAAAATCTCTTTTTTTTTTTTTTTTTTGGTAGGGTTTTGCTTTAGGGTGCATGCGCTCACCAGAAAGAGAGAGAGAGACAAAGAGATAGAAAGTGAGAAATCACCCCCCATGGGGGGTGGCCACGCTGCAATCCCTTCTCCACCATTCTCCTCTCAGGATCTTGGGCATGCACGCACAAGTGCCTGTCATGAGTTTAAGCCACTGAGTCCGGGACTCGAACCGTGGTCATCTACGTGGGAGTTCAGCGACATAGCCATTACACTAACTGCTGGTCTCAAGGCAGATCTCCTTTTAAGAGAAGGCCGCAGCCTTGTCTCCTTGCTGTTTATTCGTTCTTGATCTAGATTCAAGTGGGCCTTTGTGATCAGCTGTCTCCTTGTTGCCCTCCTAGTTGTAGTCAGTCTCAATGTATTCCTCTCCTTGCTGTCTCGGCTGCATTATTGACAAATACAGACATATCTGACCATGTCCTCTTGTGAAAGATGTTTTCTTTGCTGGGTTTTGGGATATCATTCTCTTCTCTCCCATGGCAACTGGCGATTTCTTCTCTGTATATTTTCTGTTTACCCCTCCTCATGCATCCTGACCTTTAAATGTACGAATTGTGAGTACTGGGGTCCAGTGCGTGGATCATTTTTCTCCTTGTTGTCTTCTTGGGTGATTGCAGACATTCTCATATGACGAGTCTTCGAAAAGTTCATGAAAAATACATACTATGAAAAACTGCGCGGGTCAGATGGTTGCACAGCAGTGAACGTGGCTCTCTGCGAGGCAGTTTCACATAGGAAAGTTCTTAGTGTCTGGAGACTTTCCTGAGTATGTTGGGCACATGTTAGGCAATACTTTGGGAAGAGAACAGTAGTCCAGAAATGTTACTCCCTAGGAAGAATACAATAGGGTTGACTTTTTTCTTTTTTTTTTTTTTAAACTCAATTTGTTTCTTTCATGAGAGAGCAGTACCTCCCACAGGGTCTTTGTACTGATACCCATCCCCAACCCCAGCTAGTAAGTATCATAGGCACGTACACCTACCCAGCATGTATAGGGAGTTCTCGGGACATGAACTTGGGACCTTCCCGTAAGGTTTCAGAATCACAATAAGTGCATTACCACTACACCTCCATTGCTGGCCAAAGGTTGAATTTCTTAATAGCCATGCTATTCTCCTTGCAAATATATAAAATTTTTCTGGTCTAGGATAAATAGATTTAGACATCTTTCACCTTTCGTGTTTATATTTTTTCTCTTGAAGGGCTCAAGGGCGCTGGCTGTGTAGAGGGCAAAGAATCAAATGATGCTGTTTCCTTCGACACATTTACAGCAGAAGGTCAGTCAGACACAGCCTCTGAGGTTGGAGCAGCAGCTACTCCAGTGTGCAAGTACATTCCATCCTCAGAGTCCTTCGTACTTCGTTCTGTACTTAAGAAACCCTCTGCTAAGCTGTTGGTAGAGAGCTTACAGGTAAGAAGAGTGTTAACGTTTCCTAAAGCAAAGTAATAAAAGTTCATTTTGATTCAGAGCAATGCTTGTGGAATATCTCATATCATACTGTAATTGTCAGCTCAGCCACGGTGGTGACGACAATTGGGTATCAGTGCATGATACTAGAGGTACATGGAGGCCCAGGTTCTGATCTTGAGTCATCCTGAACATGCCAGGCACACTCTGTGCACCCATAATCCTGTCTGGTTGGGAGGGTGAGGAGAGGTGCACAGCGTGGCAAGGCTTTCTCTCTCTTTCTCGCTCTCTTTCTTTCTTAAATGTTTTTGCCATATGTGTGCGCTTGCCATAGAGAAGAGAGATAGTGAAAGGGAAAGTGAGAAGTCACATTTCTCCCCCTCCCTATGGGAATGGCAGTGCCACAAGCCCTTCTCCATTTTCCTCCTAGGGTTTTGGACACATATGCACATGTGCCCGGCATGATTTTCCTTAACCACTATGCCACCTGCTGGTCCTGGCAAGACCCTTTTAAGGATATCTACCATATCCCCTCTCTTAAGAAAGAAATTTTTAAAAAGGAAATGCTTTATCTTAATTTTATTTTCTTCTCCTATTCTCATTTACAGCAGTGTTTATAGCTTCTTTTCATTCTTTGAAAACTTAAAGTTTCATAATCTTAATTATAATTATCAATTGCAGTAACAATTTTGTTTTATTCATTTTTATATAAATTTATGGTAATAGTCATGATTAAAGACTTATTTATTTTTAATTTTTTAAAATTTATTCATTTACTTATCTTATTTTGACCAGAGAGAGACAGAGAGAGAAAGCGAGAAAGCAAGCCACCAGGTCCAGGACTTGAACCATGGTCAGCCATGTGGGAATGTCCAGCGCCTTAACCACCACCCCACCTGCTGGTCCCAATAGTCATGATTAATATGTCAATCTGTAATATCACTATCCACTCAAAATATTTGGTGCCTTTTTTTTTTCTCCTTTTAATCTTCAATTTTTACCAAAGAACATGTACACTGGACAGAGAGAGGGAAAATGGTCACACCACAATTTCTTGTCCTCTACATCTCCCTCCTTTCAGGATTTTGGGCATGCACGCACACATACCTTTCTGGTGTGTTTTTCAAGCCACCACATCTGGGACTTAGAACTTGCTGTCAGTCATGTAAGATCCAGCCACCTTAACCACGAGGCCAAAGGCTGGCCCTTGGTTTGTTTTCTTTTATTTTAAAGAATTATTTATTTACTTAATTCAGTTTGTTTTAATTATTATTATTTTTTAAATTTTACCAGAGAGAGAGAGGAAGGCAAGGAAGCAAGCTGCCAGGCCTGGGTTGCTTGTTAGCTTGTCAACCATGTGGGAGGCTAGCACCCCACATGTCCACAGTCAGCCATGTGAGAGTTCTCACCCCACATGTCCACGGTCAGCCATGTGAGAGTTCAGCACCCCACATGGCCACGGTCAGCCCTGTGAGAGTTCTGCTTTCACCATGGCCTGTGAGAGTTCAGCACCCCACATGGCCCACGTCGGCCATGTGAGAGTCCTCACCCCACATGTCCACGGTCAGCCATGTGAGAGTTCAGCACCCCACATGGCCACGGTCAGCCATGTGAGAGTTCTCACCCCACATGTCCACAGTCAGCCATGTGAGAGTTCAGCACCCCAGCCACCATGTCACCTGCCAGCCCTGGCCCTTGTTTTTTAAAGTACCTATTACAGCCATCCTTTTTCTCTTTTGCCTCAGTTAATCTGAAGAAGGAGGGAGTTGATGGGCACTAGCTGGCATTTGCTGAGTCGTTTCTGTCACAGCCATGGCATTTATATGGCAGTCATTCTCCAGGAAAGCTCTTGGCTCCATCTCACATACACTCAGGCTTGCAGGCTGTTCAGTGAACCCACGTAAATCTGAAATCCGTAACAGGCTGTAAGTCTCGGAGAGGTTGCGAGTGTCAGCTTAGGAGTCAGAGTGCCTGGCTGCAAATTCTGACTTGGAAACTTAATAGCTGGGCAAATATTTAACCTTTTTGTCTTCTGGTTTCCTTGACCTATAAAAGGATAATATTCATTTTTAAATAACAATATGACACAATAAATATCAAGTCCTCCAGCCAGAATCCTATGAAAATGTTCACGACTAATTATTATTTTTTTTTTTACTAAGCTGGCCGAAATTGGTAGGCATTTACAATTTGAGTTGTTCGTTGATTTTTGTGATTATTTTCATTAAAAATAAATGTAAAAATGTATAAGAACTTTGGAGACATGCCAAACACCTGCCTTCATGCCAGGGGTCCTGGTGTGTTGGAGGTAGGGAATACTACTATGACCAAGGAGGATCCCTCTCTCACTCTCTCATGTACCTGCACATGCTCTACCATGAATTTTTAAAAATAACGAAAAGAAAGATTAATGGAGTAGGCAAGTTAGTAGGAAAGTGATTATTGCAAGCTCCATGGAAAAAGACCAAATGAGCTTAAATACAGAGCCACTGGGGCTTAGCAGGAAAAGCCAGGAAAGAGCAGGCCTGTGGACTGGGTCAGAGTCCCCTGTTAATCACCATTTACTTATCCGGGTTCTTTTAGTGCAATTCTTTCTTTTTGTTTTTTAATTTGATATATATAGAAAAAGAACATGAGAAAGCATTCTCCAGGGGGGAGCGGTCATACTGCAATCCCTTTTCCTCCATTCTTTTCTCAGGATTTAGAGCCCACAGGCACCCAGTGTGTTTTTCAAGTTGCCAGGTCCAGGGTTCATACGGCACAGCCAGCCATGTAGGATCCAGCTGCCTTAACCGCCATGCCACCAGCTGGCCCTGGAACAGTTCTTATACGTCAGACTGTATATGATCTACCTCATCTTACATTATATATATAGCGTGTGTGTGCGTATATACACATATATGTAGTATACTATAATTCTAGCCACTCATACTTTTCATTTGCTAAATTAAAGATAGAATGAATTTAACCCACATTAATGGATTTTTATTCTTTAATTTTAGCCTAGGCACTGTTTTCTTAAGTGATTAGGGGAACCCTGTTTTTCTTTGTGTCTGGTACGGTGTTTTAAGCAAGAACAGTTTTGAAAATAAAGGTTCACCTCAATACTGAAGATTAAAAATTGCTTTTTATTTTTTTCCCTATTCTCCTCTCAGAATTTTTTTGGGGCATGCGTGCAGATGCACACAGTGTGATTTTCAAGCCTCTGGGCCTGGAATTCCAAATGCGATTGGCTATGTGGGAATCTAGCACCTTACCACAACCACCTGCTGGATCAAAAAATTGTCTTTTTTGGGACCAGCAGATGGCATAATGGTTATGTCACTGGACTCCCATGTAGTTGACTGTGGTTCAAGTCCCAGACCCGGTGGCTTGTACTCATGCCAGGCATATGTGCATGCATGTCCAAGATCCCGAAAGAATGGAGGAGAAGGGATTGTGGCGTGGCCATCCCCCCTGGGAGGTGATTTTCTCACTTTCTGTCTCTCTGTCTCTGTCTTTCTGGTGAGTGCACATGCCCTATAGCAAAAACCTCTCAAACACAAGCCCTAAAACAAAAACCCCCCAAAAAAAAAAAAAAAAGAGAGAACACTGTCTTTTTTTTTTCTTTTGAGGTTTTTGCCTTAGGGAACATGTGCTTGCCAGAAAGAGAGACAGAGACAATGAGAGAGACAGTAAGAAGTAACCCTTTGGGGGGATGGCTAGTCAATCCACCAGGTTTGGGACTCGAACTGCCATGGGCCATGTGGCAGTCCACTGATATGACCATTATCCCATTTGCTGGTCCTCCAAAACTGTCATTCTTAATGAGCATTATATATGCTTTGTAGCTAAGGTTACTCACCGATGTTTATTTTGTCTAGGAACATTGCAGCAACCTCTGTAATGATGGAACTCAGCCAAGCTTAATTACAAATGTTGCAAACTCTTGCACAGAACAAAAAGCAGGTAAGAAATTGCTCGTTTTTAAGCCTGAGGATATCGTTTCTTATTAATAAGGTCATCAGGAAAGTCATGGTGTGTTTTTCTGATCTTTTACACAAAAATGTGTCATGGCTTTCCTGAAAACCCAATAGTATATAGAGTGTTCAGTGATCTCTCTCTCTCTTTTTTCCATAGAGAGAGATTTTTGCTATAGGGAGCCTGTGCTAGCCGAGAAACCAAAAGCGAGGAATCACCCCCCCACCCCCCCCAATGAAGGGCCATGCCACCATCCCTTCTCTTGGGATTTGGGCATATACACACATGTGATCGGCGTGAGTTTTAAGCCACCAGGTCCAGGACTCGAACCATGGTTGACTACGCCATCTGCTGGTCCCAGATCTCTTAGTGCCTTCATGCTTCTGACATTACTCTAGGGATACAACTTTTTGGACAGCTTCAAAGCTGGCCTGTCCATTTCACCTATTCATTTTTATTTAATGGTAGAACTAGTAAATGCAACCTCTATTCTAGTTTTATAAACTTTTAGAGAATTTGTGTAAAACTTTACTTTTAAATCTGTTACCATACTGGAATGTTTCTTATATTTTTCCATTTTGAATTTGTTCTACAGACTATGCTTGTTATTATACAAATAATAGGTGAATATAATCCTATAAAAAGATTCTAATAGACCCAGCCTGGAGATGCAGTCAACTGCAAACCGAACTTTAGGGTTGGCAGCCAGTATGGCCGACTGTGGGCTCAAATCCTCTGTTCAAATTAAAAACATGTCAGTCACATGTGCATGTGCCTAAGGTCCTAAGGGGCTGTGGGGCTGGGGAAAGGGGATCATGGAGTGACCTGTCTTCTAGAGAGGCCTCACTCTCTCTCCTGTTTCCCTCACACGCATGCTTTCTATCACGAATAAAATCAACAAACTTTAAAAAAAAACTTGAAAGGAATGAAAGATACTAGGATATGCCCTATAGGCAGTAAATATAGCTTAATTTTTAAATCTATTCCCCTTCGCTATCTATAGAAGATCATCAAGATTTTAAGTCACCGGCCTTTCTAAACATGAGGAAGAGAAAGAGAGTTACTTTCGGAGAGGATCTAAGCCCTGAAGTGTTTGATGAATCTCTGCCAGCAAATACTCCATTGCGCAAAGGAGGAACGCCTGTTTGTAAAAAGGACTGCGGTAGAGCCAGTCCCCTGCAGCTCGAGCAGGCCCCAGTTTCTGAGCCATTGTCTCAACCAAATTTCGATGACAAGGGAGAGAATCTTGTAAGTGTGAAAGTATGCAGCAAACTCGTTTGTGTTTATATTTTGGTCATGCCTCACCTGATGAGTAATAATTATGCTTTCAAATAGTGAGAGGGACTATGATTTCCTCTGTTTTATGCTACCTTAAATGAAATGCTGATACCCCACGAATTGGGAGGTGTCCAGATTTTCGAGGTGTGAATTTGTGAAAGAGTGATCATCTTAAAACTGAAATAGGATAAATTAAATCCTGTGTTTTCTCCCACAGTGACTTTGGAAAATGAATTCTCAGACTAAAGAATGTCAGTGTTTTTGAACTTTTTGATACATATTGCTAAATTAACCTTTTAGAAAATATGTAGCAGTTTAGATTCATAGCAGTTTAAATGTTTTTATTATACCCTGTGTTTGCACGAAATGTATGTATTCACTAAAAATTTTTAAATTGTGTAATAGCAAAAGATGATTTGAGCGTTTTTAGTTCATCAGTGAAGTTAAGACTTTTTTTTTTAGTGCTCACGTGACAACTAAAAAGTCAGAGACCATACAAAGTAGTAGTTCTCAAGCAACGGACATCAAGAAGCCCAGAACAGTTAACCCTGATAGGACCAACAAAGAGAGGAGAGAGTAGAAGGAACAGAAAAAATATGTGAAAAATAATGCCTGAAAATTTTGCAGATTTGTTCAAAATTATAAGCCCATAGAAATATCCAAAATTTCAGTACATTTTAGGCACAGGAAACATGAAGGAGACTCCACCAAGGCATATTGTTGCTTAAACCAATGGCTAAGAGGAAATCCTTAAAAGCAGCCAATGGAAAAAAAAAATGACATAAAGAAGACAAAGGGCCTGCCCCATGTCCTGGTCATTAGGGGAGAAGGATCTCACGTTGGCAACCATGAATCAAATCCTGGCCCCCGCAGCTTGAAAAATGTCAGACATGTATGTGTATGCCTAAAATCCAGACAGGATGGAGAGATGGAAGAGGAGGGATTTGCAGCATGACTATTCCCTTATGAGTGGTGTTTTCTCCCTTTCAGCTCCCCTCCACTCTAGCTGTGCATCTCTGACAAGCACACACACTCTCTAACAGCTAAAAAGAACAAACACAAGAAAGACTAAAGATCCTCATCAGAAACAATGCAAGCCAGAGATAGTGCAGTAATATCTTTGAAGTTTTTAAAGGGAGGAGAAAAAAACTCAACCCCTGTCCAAGAAAACTATCTTTATCAGAACTTAGATGAAATAAGGGATTTTTCAGACATACAGATCCTGAAAGAATTCACTGCCACAAAAGGTTAGCAGTGTAAGAACTGGGAAGGAGGACCAGCCAATCATATGATTAAGGCAACTGGTTCCCACATGGTTGGCTATGCAATTTGAGTCCTGGACCTGGTGGCTTGAAAAACACTCCAGGAACATGTACATGCATGCTCAAAATCCTAAGAGGAGAATGAAGAACAGATTATGGTGTGGGGTGGGGTGACTTCTCACTTTCCCACTCTGTTTCTCTTCTGCAAGTACATGCACCCAATAGCAAAAAAAGAAAAAAAGAAAAAAATTAAAGAAAGAAATGTGAAAAGAAGCCTTCCCCCCCCCCTTTTTTTTTAAGGTTTTTTGCCATAGGGCGTATATGCTCACCAGAGAGAGAGAAGAGACAGAGAGAAAGGTGAGAAATCACCCTCCTGGGGTGGGGATGACCATGATGCAATCTCTTTTTCTCCATTTTCTAGGGATTTTGGGTGCACACGTAACATGCCTAGCAGGATTTTCAAGCCGCCAGGTCTGGAACTCAGTTCTGTGGTTGGGTGCGTGGGAGTCTAGCACCTTAAACACCACACCACTGGCTGGCCCAAAAGGAAGTCTTTTAATCAAAAGGAAAATAATTCTGGATGGAACTCTCTATCTATACAAAGGAATGAAGACCACTGAAAGTTCTAAATATGTAGGCAAATACAATAGACTTTTTCTCATTCAATCCATAAAAGATAAATGTTTAAAGCAAGAGTAACAACTATGTGTTATTTGGTTTTCAGTCTATGCTTAAAGTATACAAGAAAAACAGCAGCTTAAGGCCAGGAGGAGTGCTGATTCTGTATACAAAGGAGAAAATTAAGGATGTATATTATAAACCCTAAAGCACTGTAAAACAAGCTAAAAAATGTGTGGAATGCAATTAAACCAGTGCGTCTGCCTGTAATTCAGAAGAAAGGAGGTCTAGAAGTAGCTCAGCTTCCACTTTAAGAAACTAGAAAAACGGGCTTATCCTTGGTGGCACATGCTGCTAAGACACTGATGCTTGAAGACTGAGGCCACATGGGCTGCTCAGGTTCAGTTCTAGCCCAATCCTTCACAGGTCAAGTATGGTGGCATGTGCCTATAGTTCTAACCAGCTGCAAGACTTACGCATAGGAACCATGGCAGGACCCTGTGAAAGTCAGTCAAGAGAGCCAGGTAGTCACACGGCATAAAACATGTCATGTGACCTCTATGTGAAAGTTCTAGGTTTGAGTCCACAGACCTCCCTGAGTATGCTAGGTCTGTGCACCATGATCCAGGGAAAAAAGAACAGAATACTCAGATTACCAATGTTAAGAATGAAAGAGGTGTTATAACTGCATATTCTAACAAGTATTAGTTTTTACTCTTTTTTTTTTTTAAGGGAGAAGGCTTTTTGTTTGTTTGTTTGTTTGTTTGTTTGCTATAAGGCGCTTGTGCTTACTAGAAAGACAGAGACAGAAAGTGAGAAATCACTCCCCCAGGGAGGATGGCCATGCCGCACTCCTTTCTCCTTCATTCTCCCCTCAGGATATTGGACACACACACACACATGCGCCCAGTGTGAGTTTTAAACCACTAAGTCCAGGACTTGATCTGCAGTTGACTACATGGGAGTCCAGTGACATAACCATTATACCATCTGCTGGTCCCTCTAACAAGTATTAAAAGTGTAATGGAATATTATGAGCAGCTTTATGCCAATAGATTCAATTTGGTTAAAATACATTCTTTCATATCATATAATATCAAAATGTAGTCGGGAAGAAATAAATTGCTTCAGTAGCCTAATCTCAACTAAAGAAATTTAAATTGTAGTCAGGATTTTCCCACAAAAGTATCTTCCAGCATCAGATCATTTTACTGATGAATTTAACCACCTACTTCAGCTTTTTGAGGAATTTTTTTTCCTATAAAGTGCTTGCTAGAGAGATCAACAGAGACAAAGAAACAGAAAGCGAGAAATCATCCCCCAGGGAGGATGGCCACACCACATTCCCTTCTCCATTCTTCTCTCAGAACTTTGGACATGTACACATATGTACTTGGCATGAATTTCAAGCCACTTGGTCCAGGACTTGAACCGTGGTTGGCCATGTGGGAGTCCAGCACATTAACCACCACACTACCTGCTTGCCTCCCTACTTAAGCATATTAACAATGATAATTCTATATATACTTTTCCAAAAATTGAGGGGATAGGACTACGTCCTAATTCGTCTTTACCAGATAACCCTTGTCTGCCTTAACCAGATACTATAATCAGATAAACTATAAGGAAAGAAAATGATCATGAACACAGCAATATATACAAAGATCGTATAATCTCATGAGACTTAACCCAGGGTTCCAAAGTTGGTTTAATGTTTGGAAAACAACCAGTATAATTCACCATATTAACAGACTAAGGAAATTATTGATATCAGTCATCATTTTAAAAAATCTGGCCTCTATTTCTGATTTCAAACAGACAAAAAAAAAAAAACCCGATAATAAAAATCCCCAAGCAAGAGTGTGATAAAGGGGAATTTTTTTAAACTGGCAATGAGGTGGGAAAGGAGATTGGTATCTGTGTTCATAGTGCTGTTTTACACTGGAGTTCCTGAATAATACTGTAGTGTTAGATCGTGTTTATTAGCGGATTATCTTTTATTTACTTTGTAGGAGTTAGGACATGAGGTTTGTTTAACAGGGTCCACCAAGTGGTGATTCTTCTCTTAGCCGTTCAGCTAAGACTTCAGGTGTAAGCTATCACCCCTGGTTCTTTTTTAGACAAGGTCTTATTATGTTGCCCAGGTTCGCTTTGAACTTACTATCTCCTTGTCTCAGCCTCCCCACCACACCTGGCCTTTAGTTTGGACTGGGAATCACACCTGGACCTCCTATGTGGTCCCAACCTGCAAAGCATACATAGTATCTTTTTTTTTTTAAAGAGATTTTTGCTATAGGACATATGCACTTTCCAGAGAGACAGACAGAAAGCAAGAACTCACTCCTGAGGTTGGTGGCCATGCCACAATCCATTCTCCTCTACTCTCCTCTCGAGATCTTGGGCACGCACACACACATGCATGGCGTGAGTTTTAAACGGCCAGGTTCGGGTCTCAAACTGCAGGCAACTATGTGGGAGTCCAGTGATATAACCGTGATGCCATCTGCTGGTCTCAGAGCATAGTATCTTAACACACAGTACCATAGCCAGGTCAGGAAAAGATTTTAACTAAGCCAAAAAGTCATTTCTCAGTGGATCATTACAGCTACTTTCACTTCAAATTTTATTTTTATTTTGGTGGATTACAGTTAGCAAACATGGTTTCATTGTGAAGATGATTGGTGAATATTATAAAATATATGTATTTTTACATCTTGTAACAAGTTTTGACTTTTGAAAAAACATTTTGCATTGTACTTATTACAGTTGCTCCTATCTAAATGAATCCTTGCCATTTGGGGGGGGGGGAACATTATATAGTCACTGAATTTAAGGTTATTTAATTTTTACTCTTTCTTTTTTCTTCTTTGTTTAGGAAAACATAGAACCACTTCAGGTATCATTTGCAGTTCTGAGTCCTAATAAGTCTTCAATCACTGAGCCTCTCTCAGGTAGCAACTTTTCTCTATCTTATTTTCATAAATGTTTTTTAATTTTATGTGTGTATGAAGCTTAATCTCAGTGTATACTTATAGAGATGTATATTTACACTTTCTATGGTCATGACAAGACAGCGAAGATTTCTCCTAATTTTCTTTTTCTCTTTTTAAAAATTATTTATTAAATTTTCTTTATTCATTCACTTATTTTTAATTTGAGAGAGAGAGAGAGAAAGAGGGGAAGTAAGAAAGCAAGCCACCAGGTCCAGGACTTGAACCATGGTCATACATGTGGGAGTGTCCAGCATCTTAACCACCCTGCTACCTGCTGGTCCCTCTCCTAGTTTTCTTGACTAGCCATAATTTGGCTGGCAAATGTCATGAGCTGAACACTTGGGATGGAAACTTCTATTCATGTGTTTTTCCTGGTCAGAATTGTTTAATGATTGACACAGATTAAGCTACTAGGACAGAATCCAAACCATATCTTACCAAGTTTGGGCTAAGATTTGAGCCGTAGTCTATAATGCATCAAAGCCTATTCTCTTAAGCCTATTAGTCTGCCTCATATTTATACTATTGAAAGTAATCAAGCCAGCCCCATAATGGCCAAGTGATTAAGGGAGTCAGATCCTACATGGCTGACTGCTATGTGAATCCTGGTCCTGGCAGCTCATACTAGGCACATGTGAGTGCATGCCCAAAATCTCGACAGGATAGAGAAATAGAGGAGAAGGAATTACAACGTGACTATGCTCTTTAGGGGATACTTTCTTCCGCTTTTTATCTCTGTTTCTTTGTCTCTCTGCCAAGCACACACACACCCTCTAACAAAAAAGATGGGCCAGCCCTTGGCCTGGTGGTTCAGGTGGCTGGATCCTACATATTCAACCATGCAATTTGAGTCTTAGACCTGGTAGCTTGAAAAACATATGAACGCCTACATGGCCAACCACAGTTTGGATCTTGAACCTGGTGGCTTAAAAATTAATGCTGGCAGGTGTGCATGTCTGCCCAAAATCCCTGGCATGGCCATTGGGGGTTGGTTTCTCACTTTACCTCTCACTGTCTCCCTCCAGTGAGTGCACATACCCTATGTCAAAAATGTTAAAAAAAATAATAAAGAAAAACATGCAGGGTATGTAGGTATATGCACCCAAAATCCCCAAAGAGAAATATGGAGAGAAGGGATTGCGGCGTGACCATGCCCTATGGGAGAGTGCTTTCTTGCTTTTTTTCTCTGTCTCTCTATCTGTCTCCAGCAAGCACATGCACTCTCTGGCAATATTAGAAATAAACAAAAAATGATCAAATTAGAATTTTTCTAGAGACCAGAGATGGCATGATGGTTAAGGTGCTGGATTCCCACATGGCCAACACCCACATGGCCAACACCCACATGGTTCAAATCCTGGACCTGCATCATTTCTCACTTCCCCCACCACCCCCATCTGTCTCTTGTAAGTACATATTCCCTGGAGCAAATTGGAAAAAAAAAATTCTAAGTAAAATTAAATAAATAATTGTACAAAGAAAAGAAAGAAAAAGAATTTTTCTAAACTTTGTAAAACTTTCATGGTTATCTTAATGCCTTTAATGCCATTTCATTGTACAGAGCAGAACTTAAAATAAACGAGCCTTCATGAAAATACATTTATTTATTATAAAAATGATTTAGTTTATTATCTTAATATGTTAATATGTCAACTAGCCACCATGAAAAGTGGTGAAAGTTTCTAGATACTAGTAAACTTAAAAGTTTTTGAAAGTTATTGGATCTTGGGACCAGCAATTGACATAGTGCTATGTCGCTGGATTCTCATGTAGTCGATGGTGGTTCGCGTCCCAGACCCGGTGGCTTACACTCATGCCAGACGTGTGTGCTTGTGTGCCCAGGATCCTGAGAGGAGAATTGGGGACTGCGGCATGACCATCCCCCCTAGGGGTATTTCTCACTCTCTGTTTTTCTGGCGAGCGCACATGCTTTATACGCACACTTTATAGTAAAAACCTCTCCAAAAAAAAGAAAATGATTGGAACTGGAGCTGAGATCTAGGCTTTTCGGGGAATAAGAGAAATGAAGATGGTCTGCTGAGAAGTCACCCTGCCTCTGTGCACTGTGTGTCTAGACAGGTCTAAGTGAAACATAGTCAAGCATCCGAACACTATTAGGGTCAACATATTCTTCAATTTCCACTGAGTCTGCAGCACAAAGGGAGAACATTGGAACGGCAGAGAGCTTGCAGATCACCTATGTGCTCAGATTGAACTTCTAGAAATTAGGAAGAAACAACCCACCAGATGACTAGAAATCACTGCAGAGGCACAAGAAACACGAGAAACCAAGAAAATTCCTTCCCCAAGGGAAAGGAATAACTCTTCTCATCCACAGACAGTACAATGGAACTCACAGGAATGTCTTCTAAAGAATTTAGAATATTGGGAACCAGCAGTTAGCGTAATGGCTATGTCGCTGGACTCCCACGTAGTCGACCGCGGTTCGTGTCCCGGACCCGGTGGCTTAAAACTCACGCCGGGCGCGTATGCGTGCGTGCCCAAGATCCCGAGAGGAGAATGGAGGAGAAGGGATTGCAGCGTGATCATCCCCCCTGGGGGGTGATTTCTCGCTTTCTGTCTCAATGTCTCTCTCTGTCTGTCTGGGGAGCGCACGCGCCCTACAGTGAAAATCTCTCCAAAAAAAAAAAGAATTTAGAATATTCATAGTGACAGAGCTAACAGAGATGGAACAGAAGAGAGTCAAGGAACACCAGAAAAACAGAGCCAATGAGTTCCAGGAGGTAAGGAAGTTCTTGAGAGAGCTGAAATGGATACACACCATAAAAAAAAAAAAAAAAGAAAAATCAAATGGAACTGTTGGAGATGAAGGCTATAACACAGTAAGTCAAAACCTCCTCTGAAAGTATTAGAAGCAGACTAGATCATACAGAAAATCAAACCTCAGATGTAGAAGACAATCACTAGACTAGTAAAATCTACCACAAAGACTGAGAAAACAGCCCCCCAAAATAAGAGTAATATACGAGAAATACTAGATACCATCCATTGTCCAAACATCTGGATAATTGGTATCCCAGAAAGTGAAGAGGTTAATAAGGGCATTGATAATCTATTACATGAAATCCTGGAAGAAAACTTTCTAAACCTAGAGAGACATTCACAGATCCAGACCCAAGAAATACAAAGGATCCCAAATAGAATCAACCTAAGAAGATCTCCAAGACACATTATAGCCAGGTTGACCAAAACCACAGACAAAGACAAGATACTAAGATTGGCAATAGAGAGACATCAAGTTACCTCAAAGGCTATCCCATCAGGCTAACAGCAGACCTCTCATCGGAAACAAGGCAAGCAAGGAAAGAATGGGAAAAATGTTGAGTGAAAAACAAATTCAACCGAGAATAGTATACCCAGCAAGATTCTCCTTCATATGGGAAGAGAGGACAAGAATACTCCCATAAACAAAACCTGAAAGAGTTTACTGACACCAGACCAGCTCTCCAAGAAGTTCTGAAGGGAGTGCTATCTCAGGAAAACTAAAGCCAGACACATAGAAACGAGAGTTCTAAAACAACAAAAAATGGTCAAGAGTTGAACATTATCTTCCAGAATTTAAATGGAAAGATTGGACCACAACAGAAGATAGATTAAGTATCTGAGTCTGAACTGGTGAAATAGAATTTTATGACTTTTGACTAAAACATTACTGATCTTCTATGCTTTGTTTTCCAGACTTAAGGATTTTTGTCTTCTCTCAAGTTGTGGACAGGTCCATGTACCTACTATTCGAACAGAATCCTAATCTGTTTCCTGGCTTGAAGTCTTAAACAAAGTTCTCAACATTTTTTACTTTCATTTAATAGAGCTAAAAGTGCCTTTCTTGGAATTAAAAAATATATTTAAAAAATACCTATTTAATGACCACAGTAAGCTATATAGCACTAGCTAGGTGCTGCTTTATAGTATATTCATTCTACCCACAGTTTCATGCCTAAAGTTAACATGTATTCACAGATATGTGTGTATCAGCTGAACTTGCTATTGAAAGTAGTTAGATTAATTAAGATACTTCATGAATCAGTGAAATGTGAGAAAAAGTAAAAAAGGAATGGAAAGCAACTGCAGATATTAGAGACAGTGTGGGAGGAGGGTGAGAAATGGCAGAGGGCGAGAAATGGGAATATATATGTATGTATGTATATATAAATGTATGTGTATATATCATGCATACACACATATATATATATATATTTGAAATAGGAAATTAAAAATTATTTGTTGACAATAACATGTGTGATTAAGTCTCTTTACAGTGTATTCTGGATGGGAAATAGCATTTTGTATGTTGTGATGATGTTCAGTGAATCAATATAAAATAAATAAGTTAATTTAAAAAATAATAAAATTAATTTATCCAAAAAATTATTATTACTTAATTATTTGTGTTTAGGTATTATATTGATAGCCAAGACATGTATCCAAATAGACAGTATTTCCCAAATATGACACATACTGTAATATTGTGTTAACTGCCATGATTTTTCTTGTATTTTGCTTATTAGGCACTGATACCTTTAGTTCTCCAAATAACCACGAGAAAATACCCTCCAATAAACTTGGTAGAGTAACACGAACATCTAGTAGAAGAAAAGTAAGTGTTTATATTTAGCACAATTCATTATTGTTTTAAATCTTGCATCTCATTTTTTCTATTTCCATGAGCAAATGATAATGGATAATATTTTGGCTTCATCAGTGTCATTAAGCGCTAATATCTTATTCCTACATAGCACATAACCCAGGCTAATGTTGTTTTCTTGATTAATTCTGTTAGAAGGAAACCCCAGTAAAACAAGATACTTTGAGACTTGCGTTAACGTGGAAGGTAATTTTTTTTGAAAGGCTTGTTTAAGATGCATGATTTCACAGATTTTGTTAGGGTAAAAGTGGAGATCATATGCATTTAACAGCCTCAAAATGACATAAGTGTAATCCTCACCCCTTTTTTTTCATGGCTAAAGGGCATGTGTGCATGCCAGAGATAGACAGACAGGAGCAAAGAGAGAGGAAAAGGAGAAAGCCCCCAACCCCCATGGTAGTGGTCATGCTACAGTCCCTTCCCCATCTTTCCTTTGGGGATTTTGGTCATGCATACACACTCAGCCAACGAATGCTGAGTCTGGGACTCAAACCACACTGTTGACCAATAAGATCCAATTGTCTTTTAACCACCAGGCCACGGAGCTGGTCTTGTATAACTCTTTTGTAAACTCTGCTTCAGTTTATGCATTTGTTTAATTAATTGTTTTTAGTGTGTGTGTGTGTGTGTGTGTGTGTGTGTGTTTTGCCGTCTATTTATTCATTTTTTAATTTATTTTTAGTTTTTTGCCATAGAGCACATATGTTTGCCAGAGAGAGAGAGAGAGAAAGTGAGAATTTCACTTCCAGAGGGATGGCCATGCTGCAATCCTTCCTTCAGTCTCCTCAAGATTTGGGGCATTCATGCACACATACTTAGCATGTTTTTGAGGTGTCTTGATCTTGGACTTAACCATGGATTTGGCTCTATGGGATCCAGTGCCTTAACCACCAAGCCACCTCCTGGCCCCAGTCTATATTTTAACACTGAATATCAACTGGGGAATTATGTAATTCAATTAAATAGCAAAAGATACTCATTGTGGTTCTACATAAAGTTGGGTTTGTATCTGTAGCATCATAGTGTATAACATGTTCTACCATACTGTCGTAGGGTTTTTAACAGATTAGTTTGAATGGTAAGCCCAGAACATAAACATAGATAAGATAGAAGTTCTTGATTTATTTTTCCTATAGCCCAGTCGCAATTGAGTCTCAAATTATATGCTCCCAATAAATATTTGATGAGTAAATAAATCAACTAATTCTTTTTTAAAATAATTTTTAATTTAATTTTATTTCTTTCTTTATTTTAAATTTGACCAAAGAGAATGAGAGAGAGAGAGAGAGAAATTAAGAAAGCAAGCTATCGGGTCTGGGACTTGAACTGTGGCTGGCCATGTGGGATCTAGTGCCCTTAACCCCCACACTACCTGCCGGTCCCAATAAATCAACTAATTCTTAAATTATTTTTTCTTCCCTAATACATTTGGGTAGTGCATATATGGTTCTGGGTCTGTGGTCAGTAGATTTCTCCCATTTGAATTTTCTGTTAAAATGTTTCTCATGGAATTAGTGAGATAAGAAGAAATGGGATGTAAAACAGTAGAAGCATCTTGAGAAGATGAACAGAAATGAGAATTGTGCATCAAAATGTATATAAAAGTGTACATTAAAGCTTATTTATGATATCCTTACTTTGAATATTTTTTATAGCAATTGATCAGTTTTGCAGAAGAGAATGTTTGCAACTTACTTAATACTGAGGCTCAGCCTTGTAAAGAAAAGAAAATGAATAGGAGGAAGTCTCAAGAAACCAAGGGCACAAAGAGGGCACTTCCTAAAAAGAATCAGGTAAGTGTGTACTTAGATATAATCAATAGTAGAAGTGATGCATTTCTTTGTTGTATGAGTAAGAAAATGTGGAGACAAATTTTTCTCTAGTTAACATTGGGCCAAGATTATTAAATCCATCTTGTCCTAGAGTTAAACAGGTCGTGAGAGATTATATATTTAGGTATTAATTACCTGAGGGGCATTTTTGCATCATCATTTTCTTTGTGTTCTATACATTAGCACAATGAACGTTAGGCGCTTAATTTGAAATTTATTTTTATCTTTGAAACTAATCTAACATCTCACCCTATTGGATATCCTTTTCTTTCTTTTAATTTTAGTTTTTTTCCCTGGGGTATACAGGCTTACCAGAGAGAGACAGAGAGAGAGACAGTGAGGGAAAGTGAGAAATCATCTCCCTGGTGGGGATGACCATGTCAAAGTTCCTTCTCCTCCGATCTCCTCTTGGGATTTTGGGCATGCACGCACATTCACCTGGCGTGAATTTCAAGTCACTAAGTTTATAATTCAAACATGGTTGGCCATGTGGGTGTCCAGTGCCTTAATCACCATGCCACCTGCTGGTCCCTCTGATTTCTTAGAGAAGGTTGAGTGTATCACCTGTCACTTGTTGGAGTCTGTTCTTCCAGTTGCTGGATCCCTTCCCCATATTTAGGGAGGAATTTAAAAACTGGCTTTCCGTTTTTCTCTACACTTTAAGTCATTTCAGGTGTCTTCACAGTTCATGCGGTTAGCCAGTCTACTGCTACCTTAACCCAGTTCTTCTTCCCTCTCCATTTCATTGATCTGAACTCAATTTCTCTGAAGCCAGTTAATCCCTATGCCCTACCTACAACCTACTACACCTTCCCACAGCTGATAATAGACATTTATGCAGCTCGTTTCACACTTCAAACTCCTCTCCAGTTTACTCACTCCTTTGCTCATGTGTCCATTGTACTAATAATCTTCTGGCCCCTCTACCTCAGCTTTTCAAGTACCCCTTAGTTTTATTTTTTCTTCTTAATCCTGAACTGAATGAAATGTTCTGAACAACTTTCTTTAAGAATCTCAATTACATCTCACTTTATCCATCTAGCATAATTTCAGCTCTGTCTCTTCTCTCATCCACTATCTGGAGAGACACATAGGTACAAGAGGGTCGTATTGCTACAGATTCATTGTTTCATATACTATTTGCAGTCTAGTTTTGCTACTTTACTTTTTAGTTATTTTTCAAATGTATGAAGAGTCTTCAAAAAGTTTGTGGAAAATACATATTATGAAAAAGTATGCATGGACTCGCCCTTTTCTTTTGCACCAAACTAAACTTGTACTAAATTGTTACAACACATCTAAACAGGATCTAGTTTGAGGCACTAAAAAGAATAAGACATCAGTTTGAAAAGAGCTCCTATGAGAGCCCCCTGAATTCTGCTAAAATTAAAGCAAGAGTGAGCATTAAACTTAGGCTGAAGCTCGAGTGGAAGAATGGAGAAACACTGATGCATTATGATAAGTTTATGGGGATAGTACACCCAAAGAAATCAGCAGTTAACAAATGAATAATAGCTTGTTTCAAGAAGGAAATGTACAGCATTGAAGATGAAGGCCTTAATGGCATTCTGTTGACATCTTCATACCCTAACTGAAGAGGAGTGAGGGTTAGTAGCAGAAGTGATAGCTAACACCACAGACATCTCAAAGGGTTCAGTTTATACAAACCTGACTGAAAAATTCAAGTGGAGCATACTTCCTATGTACCGTGCACCCAACTGTTGTTGCCCATGCCAGCTGCAGACAAAAGCAGAGCTTTCAATGGAAATGAAAACAAGTGAGATCAAAATCCTGAAGTATTGCTTTCAAGAATTTTAACAAGAGATGATACATGGCTTTACCAGTACGATCTTGAAGACAAGTCATAGTCAAAGATGTGGCTCCCAAGAGGTGATAGTTGTCATAGTGGTGTAGTCAGAAGTGGCAACAGTCTTGGCAACCATTTTTTGGGATGGACAGTGTATTTTGTTTGTCAAACTTTCGGAAGGGTCAAAGAACCATAACATCTATTTATTATAAGTGTCTTACGAAAGTAACTGTTGCTTGGGTCAACCCTGTAGCCTAGTGTTAAGAGAGCTGGATCCCGCATGGCTGACCACAGTTTGAATCCCAGCCCTAGCCTTTCTCCACCTCTTTCTCTCTCTTGCTCTATCTCTAAACACACATGCCCTCTTGTAATTAAAAAAAAGAAAAGAAAGAAAATTAGCTGATACTTTAGCAGAAAATCTCCTCAGAAAGCTTCACCAGAGAGTCCTTCTACGCCATGACATTGCTCCTACTTTTCATCAAGCAAGGGCAGTTTTGCAAGCGTTTCAGTGAAGAAATCATGCAGTATCCACCTTGGAATCCTAATTTGGCTCCTTTTGATTTGTTTTTGTTTCCTAATTCTAACACATTTTAAAGAGCACCCATTTTTCTTCAGTTCATATCTAAAAAGCATTACACTGACATGGTTTAATTTTCAGGACCCTCAGTCTTTTAGGGATGGACTAAATGGCTAGTATCCCTTAAAAAGAGTCTTGAATTAGATAGGAATTATATTAAGAAATAATGTTGATTTTTTTTTATTTGTACATTTTAATTGCATTTTCCACAAACTTTGGAAATATCATTAGGTTTAGTAATGTAGTTACTAAATTTTAATATATGCTTTTAAGTCTTGTTCTCACTTGATTGTTCTCTGCAACATTTAACATAGTCAGAGTACTTCTTTTCAGGTTTTTCATCTTTTACAAAATTTTACTTTGGCCCCTGTAAATTGTTTGTTTTCTATATAGTTTCAGTGTAGCAGCATGGTTAATGTCAACATTTATAGACTATATCTTCCTGATATTTGAAAGTATTTCAACTACCAGGACCAGCAGATGGTGTAATGGTTACATCACCGGACTCCCATGTAATAGATTGTGGTTTGAGTCCTTGACCCGTTGGTTTAAAACTCATGCCGTGTGTGTGTGTGTGTGTGTGTGTGTGTGTGTGTGTGTGTGCCCAAAATCCCAAGACGAGGATGGAGGTGAAGGGACTGTTGTGTGGCCATCCCCCAGGAGGGTGATTTCTCGCTCTCGCTTTCTGTCTCTCTCTCTATCTCTCCAGTGAGTTTTTGACACACCCTATGTCAAAAATCTCTCTCTTAAAAAAAAAAAGTATATTCAACTACCTACTAGATACCTTTTTTTTTTAAGAGAGAGATTTTTGACATAGGGTGTGTCAAAAACTCACTGGAGAGATAGAGAGAGAGACAGAAAGCGAGAGCGAGAAATCACCCCCACAGGGGGGATGGCCGCGCCGCAATCCCTTCTCCTCCATGCTCCTCTTGGGATCTTGGGCGCGCATGCACATGCACCCAGCGTGAATTTTAAGCCACCGGGTCCGGGACGCGAACCGCGGTCGACTACGTGGGAGTCCAGCGACATAGCCATTACACTAACTGCTGGTCCCTAGATAACTTTTTAATATCATCCTATAAATACTTCAGAATCAACATTTCTAAAACTGATATCCTCAAATTGCCACCCACACATAACCACACAAAACATTCCATAAACTTTCTTACCTTTCCATAAAATAAAAGTCACTTCTTTTCTTAGTTATTGACATGAATATCCTTCAGTCGTTAAATCTGGAAGAAGAAGAGGATTCAGTTCCAATTTTTAGGTTACACTTTAAATATATGTGTATGTGTATATATGTATGAATATGTAATTATTATATATAATTTATATATAATATTTATACTCACACACACACATAAACACACATATATTCTTCTATGAACACAAGAGAGAGACAGCCCCCCTCAACGGGCTCTTGATGCTGCATTCCACTTCCAGTTTCAGCTAGCCTGGCCACAAGCGGGCTCCCTTGGCATGCTCAGAAAAGTCCTGGAAGATGAATCCAAGACATCTCCTGTGTGGGTCCAGGTGTGTGACTGCGGTGCTACTCACTGACCCCTAAGTTACCCATTGTTTTGATAAAATGATGAACTTGTTGACAAAACACACTAATATTCAAAAATGTGCATACAATGTATTGCATTAGAAATTGATTTCTTAGGGCCAGCAGATAGTGTGGTGGTTATGGCATTGGGCTCCCACATGGCAGACTGTTTCAAGTCCTGGACCTGGTGGCTCAAAAATCATGCCAGGTACATGTGTGCCCAAAATCCCAGGTGGAGCATAGAGGAGGAGATTGTGGCGTGGCCATATCCCCTGTGGGGTGATTTCTCACTTTCCCTCTCTGTCTCTCTCCTCTCTGGCCAGTGCACATGACCTATGGCAAGTGCATACACCCTATGGCAAAAGCCTTAAAAAAAAAATAAGAAAGAAATTGATTTAATATATATACTTTCAAAAATTACACTATTATATACACCTTTTTTTTTCATACAAAGTCAGTGGCCAGAAAGTTTAAGAAGGATTGAGCATTAGGTGCTCCAACCTCTCCCAGGCCTCTGCTGAATTTAGATAATTACTGTAATAAAAGGAATTAGAATAGCAATGAGAACAGGAAGGAAATGAGAAATATTAAGCAACAGATGATAGCCTTCAATGAATTTCTAGAAGACAAAGCAGATGGGAACATGTTGACAGAAGAGGTGGAAAGATTTACAGTTGAGAATGTGCTAGGAACGAGCTGGAGAGGAGCCGCAAACCAGTCTGCTTATGGGAGTCCCAGGAGACTGGGCTCTGAATTGGCAGGTACAATGGGTGGTGAGAGTGAGAAGCAGTACTGAAAAACAGATTAACTGAAGTCCTGTGTATGGAACAATTTGTACCAGTTGGCATGCCACCCATCTCTCTCACCCTCATGCTCAGAACAGATGTTGTCATCTAGGTTAAAGCCCTCATTCTGGCATTGGGAAATTCCTAGTCTTGACAGCCAACTCTTGCCCTAAAGCAAAGCCTGACAGTTGACACTCCCTTTTCTCAGTTCTCTTTCCCACAGAGACAGAGAGACAGAAA